GAGAGAGAGAAAGAAAGAAAGAAAGAAAGAAAGAAAGAAAGAAAGAAAGAAAGAAAGAAAGAAAGAAAGAAAGAAAAGAACCACATGGGAGCAATAGATTATTACCTGGAATTTAAAAAAAGTTTCATATCTATTACATATATGCTTTTACAAAATAGTTTCAGAAATCTTTTTATTCATATTCTGTCTGAACATTACCAGAAAGAATGAAAGCGGTCACGGTTGTAAAGAGAATTTTGTTCTGACCAGTGCTAACTGATTTAATTCATATTGAAACTGATTCTAACTTCTAAAACTATTTTGCACAGATATAAAGGGATCAAAACAGAAATAATAAAACAGTGAGGTCAAAGAAGGAAAAACAATACCATTAGGCGATGTATCATACAACTTTAGGTCATGTGTCATACTATTTTAGATAAAGGTGAAAAAACAGTACAACTTCTTGAATATAGAATATAAAAATATATACACTACAATATGTATTTGTTTATTGGTGAATGACTACTCTTCTGGTCTTTATATTATGGATAAGATACTTTCATTTGTCTAAAGTATTTATCAAATAACTAATGTATGAATAGCAAACACACTCTACTTTTATCAATCTGCACTTGCTTCTGAGAGGAACATTATAGAGCATATTTCATGTAAGTATGAGTAGTGAAGATCTTTTTTTTTTTTTTTTTTTTTTTGGTTTTTTTGAGACAGGGTTTCTCTGCGTAGCTTTGTGCCTTTCCTGGAGCTCACTTGGTAGCTCAGGCTGGCCTCGAACTCACAGAGATCCTCCTGGCTCTGCCTCCCGAGTGCTGGGATTAAAGACGTGCGCCACCACCGCCCGGCTTTTTTTTTTTTTTTTTGTTTTTTGAAGTAGTGAAGATCTTTATAACCAATTCTGCCTGTGGAACAAAGGGGGCAAGGAAAGTCTGTCAAATGCAATAGCCACATATGTCTAAAAAAATAATTAAAAAAAACCCCATGTTGTCATGATTAATACCACTATAGCCTCATCAGTACAATGCTTAAGAACTCACTTTTGGAATATGTCAAAAGGAACAAACCCTCTCATATCAGAAACACTGTGTTATAAACATAAAGGTCAGCAATAAAGAAGAAAGCACATTTGAAAATAAAATAAATCACTACCTCCAAAGGTATTTGCTATATATTATCAGAAAAAGAATTTTTGGTTTGGACCCAAAATTTCTTCCTGTTAATTTTAAATTATCTTCACATACTACTATATTAATATACTTTAATATAACTTTAAGTCTATATAAAACGTGGCTTGCGAAAGAATGAGATATAAAAATTTGCATGCACGGATCAATTCCAAGTCTTTTAAAAGGCAAGACAATTTTACTGTGATGTCAGCTTTATACAGAGCTATAGCATTGCTGCATTGGTTTAGTTCTTTGAAGAAAATCTTAACGATTATTTAAAAGATGCCTCAATAAAAATATTTTAGTACAATTTTAGACTACATTAAAACAGTCTTAGTAAATTATTTACAAATTTGTGATAGTATAAACACCTCAAAGTAAATCTGGATCTTGTACAAAAATATTCCAAATATAAATATGAACTAAACACTGAATAAAATGGTCACCATGTTTAGGGGACACAATTAGTAAGAATATATTCTGGGTGTTTAAATGGAAATTACATCCACAAAATAATGTTTCCCTAACCATTTAAGTTTTAAATATTTCCACATTAATCACAAAGTTTCAAGTTTCACAGTCTTAAAAGCTGCCAGTTTTACAAACATAAGTTAGCAAACAATGTCATTCAAAGATCACTTATAATGTTTTGCTCAGGCTAAAAAGGCAACAAAATAATATATCCATTCATCCATTAAAAGTTTATATGCTTTGTGAAATATATAAGCAACTCTAAATTAAATTTGATTGTACCCAATGTCTAGTATGATGAGAAAGTGTCAAGCTATTGCAAGTTGAGATATTATTTAAAGATTTTCAAATCACTTCTTAAAGAATAAATCTCTCTATCACCCCTAAATTTGCCAAATTATAATAGTTAAAAACAGTGGTGTACAACTTTAATCCCAGCATTCGGGAGGCAGAGGCAAGTGGATATCTGTGAGTTTGTGGCCAGCCTGGTCTACATAGTGAGTTCCAGGACAGCTAGGGCTGTTACACAAAGAAACTGTCTGAAAAACCAAAAAGAAACAACAACAACAAGAAAACAAAACAAAAACATTTATGCTAACATATCAAGTTAGTTCATATAAGTTAATGTATCATGCATTACATCACTATGTTACTGCTATCTGAGAGGAACATGATTGATTAGCAAGTTTCTTTAGGACATCATAGTTCTTAAAATACTTTAATTCTCTGAGAATTTTATTCAATATTATTTGATCATATTTACCTTCATATCTCCCCCAACTCTTCCTAGATATACCCCTATCTTCCCACAACAAAACTTCATGTTCTTAAAAAAAAAACAAATGCATCAAACCAGTTTATGCTGTCTATATATTCCTATGTATAGAACTATCCACTGAAATACAGTCTATCTACCAGCGACCACACCCTTAAAGAAAACTGACTCTCTCTTCCCAAGAAGCCATTACATACAAATATCTCCTCAGTTAGGGCTAGGGCTCATGAACCCTTTCAACTTCCATGGTAGAAAGTTTATTGGCTCAGTATTGTGCAGGTCTAGTATAAGCCACTACTGCTGCTGTGAGTTTATGAGTACAACAGTCTTGTCAGGTCTAAAAGGCATGTTCTTTCTGAGCCTCTGGCTCTTGAAGGCTTTCCTTCCTCTCTTCCCCAATAGTTTCTAGGCCTTGGTGGGCACAGTGATACCGATGTCCCATTTCTGGGTGAGTACTCACAATCACTGCTTCTTTGCACTTGACGACCTGTATGTTTCTACATTGACTACCATCCAGTACACAAAGGTACTTCACAGTGAGGTCTCAGAGCTGCACTACTATAAGGGTGGAAAGACAAGAATTTAGAGGGCAGTTTGATACTATTGCCATTTGGCAGAATAATTATAATAGCTTCTTCCCTGGGGCCCAAGAGCTCCCCAACCATGGGGATACTGGTCATATGTGCAGTGCCATCCATATGTTTCCTCCTATGGAGTTGGCCTTAAATCCATTCAGAAAATGCTTGTTACCGCCATAACATCTGTGCCACTATTTCACCCATGAGCATATTTTGCTTGCCACACTAGCCGTTGTTGTAGTTCAAAGCCGGGCAAGACTAATGATGACTCCCACCCCCACCTAGAAGCCTATGTAACACCCCTACAGTTCTATGAAAGATAGGCAGCATGGAGGAAGCTTACTGGTTGGTACCAGCTTGCTTTCTCCTGTCATGTTTCCAAAGTGTACCTTGTCTTCAGGAATAGGGCACTACCATCAAGTTCTGGTAGACAGCCAGGAGCATCGTCAATAACTTGCACTGTTTGGGGAGACATCTTGGATATCTCTTACCAACAACTTGGGGGAAAGATATCCTATACTTGGCACTGGGCTCTTTATTTGGCAAACTATGGCTTTGGGGATGAGCATAATCCCCTGTATAAACTAATTACAATTAAACCATTTTATATTTCTATATGAAATCACATAAAGCACTTATAAAAATGATAGGTTTCCACATGTCTTTCTCAAAATTATTAGTGTCAATTGTCCCTTACCTCTGTTCTACCGTCCCATCCTTCTTCCAACTTAAAACTCCCTCCCTATTATGATCAGTTATAAAGAAAAAATTATAAATAAATGGATGGTGCTAGAAAACATTATATAGGCGAGGTAACCCAGTACAGCATCCCACATAGATTCTAGCGTCTGATCTGAAGTGTCATCTTCAGATGTGTGTGTTTAATTTAGAGTGCTGTAAAATCTAGGAAACCAGAAAGGGACCATTGATATTGAGGGGGAAGAAGGATCTCAAGGGAGAAGGGAGAGTAGAACATAGGTGATTGAAAGATGAAAGGATGGGGTAGGCCATTGCATTTAACTGTGCTTTGCAACTATAGAGCACTTACTTCATCATATGAGTAAAATAATTGTTATCATCATCTTTGGAATAAAGTCTGTGTAGTACTAAAATTTTCATTTGTGTGTGTGTGTGTGTGTGTGTGTGTGTGTGTGTGTGTGTGTGTGTGAATGTGCAGTGTATCCACATGTGTGAATACAGAAGGAGGCCGGGGGAAGATGTTGGCTATTCTTCTCTATCTCTCACCGAAGTACTCTTGAGACAGAAATCTCATTGACTCTGGTGTATGCATGGTATATGTATGGAGGGAGGATAGGGATGAGAGAAATAATGTGATTATAACCTCAAAAAATTTAAAGGATAAAAATATTTCTTCACCTGAAAATCTTATCAATGACAGTTTCAAATGTCTTCTCTGTGTGACTTGAAATTTCCATCATAAACATTGATCTCTCATAATGACACATTTTTCCCTGTATAATTTGAGGGGTTAAAAACAAAATCAAGTTTTTTTTGCCAGATAGTTAAACTTTGAATTAAAATAAACTTTATCATAGTTATTACAAGTTATTAGAATTCTTGAACTTAAGGTATTATATTATCTATATGATCATTAAATAGCCATGAATTGAGAGAATGAATGGGGAGGAATGGCTAATTTTAGGCTGCAAACATGAATTGAAAAATAGAAAACTGGAATTATACTTTCAGCATCTGACACAAGTTCACGTGTCTCTGTGTAATACATAAAACAAAACACTGTGTTGAAAACTCTGTATTTTCTGCAATCTCCCTGGTTAGGTTTGAGCCTGACGAATTATAGCAATTA